AAGAGAGTGAAAATTTAATTAACATCCGAGTGCCATTAACACCCATTCAATTGAGGTTTCATTGAGAAATACTCCATTACTCTATTAGTATTACTATCATATGTATTTCTATTTTTATGTTTTTACAGTAAAAAATCGTTATATTTGTTCTTTGTTCACAAAATCATAAAAAATTGTTTGGATGAGTTGGATTAATGAATAATACAAATATTTGGATGGTTGACCACGTGAGAAATATATAAATTTATATAAAAATGGATTAAGCTACTCTGGACGGAAGTCACTCACTTAAATAATTAATAAGCCATTCAATCGTTGAAGGGAATAAAAATGAAGGAAACTTCGAGATTGACATGGCCCACTCAACAATATGAATATTAAAATCGTTTGCTTAAGTCGGTTCCATTAATAATAATTCGAATATTCGTTCACGCGAAGAATATATATAATTTTATAAAAACGAATTAATTACACTGTTAAGCTACGTCGGACGGCGTGGGACAGTCTCAATCGAGGAACAAACGATTTAACGTCAGGAATTTCAGAAAATATCTCTAAAATTTGAGATATCCCCCAAAATCTCACTCCATTTAACACCTGCTGTCTCAAAATATTTCAGATGATTGTAGATTTGTACTACTCGATCTTAAAGTGTCTATACAACATTTAGATTAATGTAATGAATGTCAGTATGAGATTCTTGACGATTCCCTTGAATTAAGGCACCAGAAATTCAAATCTAGGGAACACAATTCTTGATTTTTATCTTGGATTTGTGGATGGGTGATTCTTTTGGTGATTCAGAGTATCAGTAGACTGGAAGCTATCGCCAGTACCCCAGCTATTGCTGTTGTTAACCACGAAATGCTGAAGCTTGTTCCTGAGTTGCATCCGTCCTTGGTATTGCACGTGCAGTATTCCATGAAAATATTGTACGAACCTGTCCTCATCAGGCAGAAACGTTCGTCACGGTCTAGTCCAGGCTCTCCCAGGTAGGCACAGCTTCTGAAGTACGTCCACTGCCCATAAACTGTGGAAAATTAAAAGAATAAATGAAAATAAGACAATTACACATTTTTCAAAAATCAAATAGTGTCCATTTTTGATTATTTAGAATATGTACAACATTTCGAAATCATAGCAGAAACAAATAACAAGTCCTGGAAATTCATGGATAATTCATGGAAATCGCGAATCGATCGAGAAACACCGAAATTAAATTAATTTAATTTGTGATGGATTAGTAATTTGAATTGGATGAAAAATGAACCTTTCTGACGAATTTTCCGGCACATGGTGGGTTTAACATCAGGCAAATGCTCTAGTCTATCCTGCGTGCTGCAATCGGTAATTGGTACTGTGGTATTGTCAAAAGGATCAGCACACTTTGGATCACGATCTGATCTGCACACCCAGCACTTGATAGAAAAACCTACAGATCAATAAAAAAATCATTAATCGTCATTGATCGAGATAAACATTTCGAGATGAGAGACGCGCAGGCCCAGCCCTGAACATTCAAAACTTCTCCAGAAGATCAAGTACTAGATTGAACTCACCTTGTTGTATAAAACAAATTAGCAGGACTAGGGCTACCAGTCCCTTCGTACTCCCGATGTTGTTCATTATAATTATTGTTAATTAATGCGAACAACAGGATGATTGTATGAAAACAGGGATGATCCTCTGGGTCTTCGACCAACTGTTGCAGGTGCTTTTCGATCAGCTGTTCACGTCCTCGACATTTAGGAATTTATTTAAATTATTTTTCGGGCTCTTTCGGGGTGTTGCAGATTTTTTTTTCAAGGATTTATGAATGACAGGGATCAACAGAACCTCCACGCCTAGATAGGTTGTACACTTTCGTTATTACTCATGTTCGGGAGAATTCGGTTGGAGTCGTGT